CTTCTATCTTTAATGTTTAACAAACAACAGGATTCATAGGACAGCAACAGAAATAATAACACTGCTCAAAGAAAATAACACAATTACCCTTTTATACTTCCTACACAGTGTCAGAAGAAAAGGGTTCTGCAAAAGCTGGCTTTAAGATTACTTGAATAATAAGTCATCTGGGTTAAAGAAGGGGGAAAGCTATTTCATATTGTTTACACTGTCTGATTGTAAATGGCATTCATTTTATTTAATGGAACTTCTGCATAATTTATCACTAATTTAATATGCAATTGCATCAGAATGAATGTTAATTTATACATGCAAAATAAAGCATTACCATTAAGTTTGTATTCATTAAGCTCCTCGTTCCTAATATTATCTTAGCACCCATTCTCCTAGACGGGGTTGAGCCATAACAGACAAATTAAATCATTTCTGCTTGTCTTTCCTTAAGATCTTTTTTCCTCACATTGCCTTTGTGCTGTAGTAAAATGTACTGTTTCAGCACGTTTGAATTGTGTTAAAACTGTGAACTATTATATAAACATTAAAGCTATTGCCTCTATAAAGACAAAAAAGACAGGAACAAATTAAAACTATCGTTAATGAGTTTTAGCAATTTTAGAGATGAATTTCAATATTTATCTTGCTGCATTTCTTTTTAGGTAATTCCAAATATTTTGGCATTAATGCCACAGTACAGTAGGATGATTGTGAAGTGATTTATATTGACAAGTTACTTAGTTGTTCATGAGATGTAATGAAAACTGTTCTTGGTACAGTATCTCTGGAATCAGCATTGTTATTAATATTGTTATGGATTAGATACATTTGAGTTTAAATCTAGAATGACCCACCATTTTAATCTTATTCTTAGCAAAGGTTTGTATAATAAAAACACAAGCTATATTAAAAGAAAAAAATGAACAGATGCACATATCCATCTAAACATGTTACCTATATCATAAGTAAAGAGCTGGTTTTATAGTAATCTATTTATGATCATTGTGATTATTTTTAATTATTATTCAATAGGGCATCTGCATGAATCACAGTTAATCTACTGTAAAAAAACCCTTACTTAAAGCAAAACAACCTATGCACACCAAATATTCCCAAACTGCTAAACTAACTGCTGACACCTTTGGAAACTTACCGAGTTATCTTTACTATTTCACAGAATGGTTTATGTGAGATCACCTGAATTAAAGAAATATCTGTACAGAGTGACACAAAATCACATTTTCTCATTATAATCCTCACGAATAGCTTAATATAGATGTATGGAATGTTATTTCCTCATTATTTCCATCTTATTGAATGCTACTGCATAATCATTCACCACGAATGTCTACAAAAAAACTAACTATGCAAGCTTCCATTGCTTTTTACTTAAATGTAATGAGAATGCTACAAAACAGAAAAAAGTCATATTAAGAATGAGTAGGCTATCTTGTCAACAAGTAGGAAATAAATGTTAAATAATGTTGTATAACCTATGGAAAACAAAAGCAAAAATTCACATGTCAATAATACAGGAAATACGGTTTAAATCTATACTATAGTGTTTTTAATACTGCTTTAGAAAAATCCAAAATTTGAGAATCATGTAGAGTTTTTTTAATCTGAGTATGTACAGTATAGTTCCATAGTTGACACCAGTAACTTGTAGTTACAGTGTAATAATACGACTGTTACATGTTGCTATAGAAAGTAGTACTGATTAATGAAAAGGAATAGTTCCAGAAGCATCGGATTGTTCTATTTTAATACCATATTGCTCAGATTACCCTTATATGATTAATGTTACTTTAAAAAAATAATCAATTTGACATCTATTGATGTTTGTTACAAATGAGGATATTGGAAAAAAAACAATCTCAAGCTCTTATTAACATCAAAGTGCTCCTATTAGATTCACGTGTAACTACAGTATTCTGTCTGTATCCACATTTTTCATGTAGTCGGTATACTGGTATAATTCAATTGAGAATTAATCTGTAACATATGCTAAAGATAGTATTGCATATTTAAGATATATCAACACTGGATTTGGGGTAAGATTCTGAAAACAAATGATTCAGTAGAAATTAAACTTTCAGTGGAGTTTGGCATTGTCCTTTTGGCTCAGGAAAGCACATTCAAAAACAGTTTGAACTGCAACAGAATATGAGGGTTTGATGTATAACAAGCAAAGGGCTTTTTCTCAAATGGAGGATGGAGAGATGTATTACCAATAGATCAGTAAAGCCTTATTTGCTCTGCCAGTGTTCCCAATTCCAGTAAGGCGGTAACACTTGGGATATTCCTATCCAGGGTCTCCAGCAGTGTCTTTAAACATCATGTGTTTTTTTTTTCAGTATAGCACTCTGGTCTTTTATTCACGGCAATGAAACAAATCCATTTTGCTTTTCATCACCCGTGTACTAGCTTTGACATGGCACTGACAGGGTGATGGTCCTGTTTGCCGAGACATGCTACAGGACCATCATCGGAGTGTCAGATCATCTGTGTGGCCGGTGTTTAAAGTTAAAGAATTCAGAACCCTTAGAAAAGACCATGGCAACCTACCCCCTGTCACAAACACATTGCCTGCACACGTTTAGGCAGGGGAAACCATTATTTTTTTTATTTTCTCCCCATTTAATAACAAGTGCATGACCTAAAGCAGCCACAGGCACATTTCCCCCATTTTGGAAAATAACTGGCAATCATTTTCACTGTAAATAACGGCAATGACAATACAGGTCTTGTACAGCGTGTAAATGGATCACTAACGTGGGACGTTTTGTGCGTCCCTTGCTAGCCAACCTGCCAATTTGTGCTTTTGTGTATAAAAAACATAAAGCATTTGTGTATGTGGCTGGTTCATATCGACTGTTGAAAACAAAAGAACTTGTATTCAGAAACATACTGGTCTGTGTAGAGTTTCTTTATATGTTGTGTTTGTATAATGAGAATACTTCCTTAACAAAGTTATCCTGGCTTCCATGTATTTTTTTGGGGGGAGGACTTGGGGGGTGGATGTGGATCTGTAAAAAAACTATAAAAAATGAAACAAAATAAACAAAGTTACATTCACTGTTGTAAGTGCAATGAGCTGAACATCATGTATCCATTGTAAACTCTTGTGTATGTTTCAATGTATTCCTGTAAACAGTTGTAGTTAAATTTGGTGCATCATGTCATGTAATGTGATTAATGAGATAATGACTCTACAATACATTTCCAGCAGGAAAAAAATAAAGAAAAAATGAAACCTATCGATTGCTTCAGAAATAACTTTTTTTTGTAAGCAGGAAACTGCTTGAAGAAGAAACTGCGTTTCTTCCTATTGCTAATCGATGCAGTGAAGACAATAACACAAATGTATTCTTCACATGGTCTGCTCGGATTCCTTCTGGAAAAGGAGCAGTGAAAAAGAAACGATCAAGGGCATGCCAGCATCCCTGTCATCCTGCAACTTACATCCGCCAAGCCCACTGGAGCTCAGCACGCGTGAGGGTGGCCAGTACCTGGATGGGAGACCACCTGGGAAAGCTAAGGTTGCTGCTGGAAGAGGTGTTAGTGGGGCCAGCAGGGGGCGCTCACCCTGCAGTCCATGTGGGTCCTAATGCCCGAGTATAGTGATGGGGACACTGTACTGTAAAAAGCGCCGTCCATTCGGACGAGAAATAAAACCGAGGTCCTGACTATCTGTGGTCATTAACAATCCCATGGTGTTTCTCGAAAAGAGTAGGGGTGTAACCCTGGCGTCCTGGCCAAATTTCCCATTGGCCTTGTGAAACATTTCGATCATGGCCTCCTAATAATCCCCATCTCTGAACTGGCTTCATCACTCTGCTCTCCTCCCCACTGAGAGCAGGTGTGTGGCGAGCGGACTGGTGCATCATCCAGGTGGGGTTGCACACTGGTGGTGGTGGAGGGGATCCCCATTACCTGTGAAGCGCTTTGAGTGGAGTGTCCAGCAAAGCTCAGTCCTAAAAACTGTGTAGAGTACTTCTAAACATACACACAACGGAATAAGGTGCATCGGTCATACAGCGAAGTTTTAGCTGAATCAAAAGAAAGGTTATTTTACATTAGATACATCTTTTTTTGGTTTCCTGTTTTTTTAGATAAAGAAGCTCAGTCCAATTAGGTGCAGAGTTTTATAAATCATAAAACCGATTATTCAAAGCACCTGTACGTTTACCGATGGATTGATTGAGCAAGCAATCGATTCGATTGAGTGAACCCAGGTCCATGAAGACTTAATTTTGTCCCCACATAAAACTACATTTCTTCATTTTATACAGCGCCCCAAATTTGTTCACAATTTTTAGAAATCAATGATATAATGATGACCTACACGGAAGGTCACAGGTGAAATTAGACCTGTCCTGTAAATAGGGCGTAATCATAAGACACCCACATGGGCGAGGGAATCCGCCACTTCCTGATCGGGACAGCCCACCCGCTCTGCAGTTCCGTAGGAGAGCACAGTGACGCAGATCTGAAATAAATTCATGTACCAACTTCACGGTTTACAGGCTGTAGTTGATATCAGTCCATTTTTGGGAAATAACTGGATAATCCAAATTTTATGCTTTGAACGTCGGCTATAGTAATATGATTACTCCGTTTAAACTTTTCCTTTCACCTATTTCCTTTCCTGCGTTGGTACAGTCCACAACTTTCGTTTCAGTCACGCCCTTTTGGAAATGGGACTACATCATTGAGTTTAATGGGAGGGGGGTACTATTTATATAGAAAGCTTTTGGTTCGTTGCTAATGATTATATTGTACTCATAGAGTTGCGTCTTTTATGTATATTTAATGCTAAATTATGATTCAAACATAGATTATTATATTTTATTAAAATTTACTTAGGTCATTTTATTAACCCCCCCCCCCCCTTTTTTCTGCATAGTGGAGGCTCGTGTACAGTCTGACGGCAGTATGGAGTCTCAGGTAAAGTGGTTTAGAGTCGAAATCACAGTAAATTCATTGCTGGGTTTTTATTTCGTTATGTGTAATGCACTTGTCAGAGTTATTTTAAAGACGCAATATTAATTATGTATAGTTCTTATTTAAAGCAAGTTTTATTTCGTCAAATCTCGACAACTTTGTTTCAGCGGTCATGTTACTGCGGACGCAGTGTACATAAAGTAGTGATAGGTTTTTCTAAGAGAAACGTTTTTTTTCCCCTTTGTATGTATATGTCCTATTCCACGGCTGGGCATTTTTCTTCCCAGGTTTCTTCTGCAATAACCCATAATGTAAGAAATATTTCCCGGTCGGTTATTGTTTTGTTTGACGCCATTTGCAGCGATGCAATATTTGGGTTTGGTTTTGCTTCAACGGTTAATTCGGGACGTGAACTAGATACCCCATTCAAAATCATTTGATAAAACTTTCAGTTTTTTTTTTGTACATTTGGTATTATACCGAGGGTAAATGTCGGGAAAAAGTCTTTGTCCACACCCTATGCTTGTAAGTTAGTATTTTTTCCTGTTCGCTTCCTGGTAAACGGTAATAAACGGTAATAAACGGAATATTGTTGCCATACCGGCTGTTTAAAACCACTTTCGTCACGACCTCTTAATCACTGTTGATTTTTAAGATTTGGCTCATTAAGTCGCAGTTTGTTAAATCTGAAACAACGATTTTCCATTTATCATAGGAATCTTAAAAATTTCAAAATGAAAATAACCTACAAGTTAAATAAAATAAGATCCTGTATTTTATTAATTATATTGTTTCTAGGCATAAGCGGCAACACTGAAACTAAAGCCTGTTACGTAGTAGTGTTCTTTTATGTGCTTTGGAGCGGAAGTAACGTCATTTTTCATCCTAGGCCGGTTTTTCCCTCAACAGGTAATCACGAATCCAGAGGAGATTGTCAACATTTACAGAGAGCAGAGTCGGTTCCCGTCTCTGACAAAAGCCTGTATCGGACCCGTGATTACATCCCAATATGGGGGAAAATACTCTAATATCTACACAGGTGATTACTGTATTTGATACCAATTTATGAAACCTAATGCAGACATTTATATTATAGACCTCACCAGCGTTGCCAAAAACAGATCACACATACCATTTTTTTTTGCATGTTTAATGCATGCTCTGATGATGGTACTAATTAAACTAATAAGCCTTTCATTGAAATCCACCAAAGTATTGCCAATGTGGAGACCAGTACATCTAGCATATAAAAAGTTAGTAAAGAAGATTCTGTCCAGGCAAACTCTCCTTGGCTAGTTACTTGTAGCAGAAAGATCTAAGGATTTCATTCATCTGTTTCTTTAAAAGATCAGGTGCAGTAATCTCATTGTGTTCCATATGCTACCACTCTGTGTAAAGAAATGCTTCCTATTCTTTGTCATAATCATGCTACATTTTAGTTTAGTTGTTCCATTAATCATGAAGTAGTCCCTTGGATTAATTTTGCCAGTGCCATTTCATGTTTTTAATGCCTGATATGAAGTGTCCCCTGTCTTAAAATTATTCTAACTTGTGTTTGCATGACATAACGTTTAGAGCAGGAGTTAATCTTCTGCAAGCTGTTTTTCGGGGACTGGTGTTTTTTTTTTAATATGGTCATCGGAGTTCTCCAAAATGCTCATAAAATGTAATGGTCCATTTGTCAAAATGAGTGAAACTTTATAATGAAATGAACCTTGAAATTAATCTTTTCCTGCTACCATCTGTGTAAATCATGGAAGACTGAAGTATTGGACCAGTTCCATAGTGTTCAAAATTCTTCACAGGAATAAAAAAAAAAAATGTATTGCCGAATTTCAATGTCTTCCAGAATGGACCCAGTGTGATCTGGAACGGAACGAAAACGTCAAGTTCTGTCGACAGTACATCGTGTTTCACGATGACAAATCCATTGTCTATTCTGGACCATCAGGAAATTGCACAGAGATAAAGAGAGAGTACGTGTCTTCATTTTCTTTATTATGAAACCAGCGGTCTGAGGATGGCCCAAGATTGCCATCTTTCTAATAATGCATTTCCCTTGATGCTGGACAGCATTCAGTGGATCGTACAGTACCTGCAGTAGCTGAAATGCTTTCTCCATGATTGTTTTTCAAAATTAACTGATGAAAAACTTTTAGGAAACCTGGGATTCATTCAGTAATTGCAGAACTATTTCTAATTTAAGGCTCAATACGTCTCAGGCCTCAAACCTGATCAGAAAATGAATGCTAATAATTCAACTGATCTAATTTCTGACCACATTCTGTGACCCTCTCAAAAAATGTCTGCAGGTGTCACACCTGAAGAAGGCTCCATAACCGAAACGTTGTGTTTTCTTTCTTCCTTTTTTTTCAGCATGGACTAAACCTATTACTTGTTCCTTTTTATACTCTTGCCTCTGTATATGTTCTGTTCCGGTGCTTGTTTTTTTTTTAATTCTTCACTGTATTTGAATTTATTGCCAATAAAATCTTACGCTGCATTGTATAAACTGTGGTATTGTGGTATAAGAATATCCATTCTTATTAATACACGTTTTCAATACATTTTTAAATCAGTCTCTCAGCATTATGAATAAATAACCCCAGGATTTTTTTATAGCTGATAAATCCTATTTCCTCATTGATAAGAGTTTTTTTGTTGATATTCCCAGGCTTCTGAGTGCAGACTCTCCTTCAGGAGTGATGAAGGCTGTCATCCGGGAGTGCAGCATCAAGGGAGAGGACAAGCAGTTCCTTGAGGTTAGATAATTCCTTACACTTATTTAGCACTTTTCTGGACACTACACTCAAAGCACTTTACAGTAATGGGGCTCCCCTCCACCACCGCCAGTGTGCAGCCCCACCTGGATGATGCAGCAGCAGCCATAGTGCACCAGTATGCTCACTAGACACCAGCTATCGGTGGGGAGGTGAACAGAGTGATGAAGTCAATTTGTAGATGGGAATTATTAGGAAGTCATGAGTGGTAAAGGCCAGTGGGACATTTGGCCAGGACACCGAGGTAACACCCCTGGGACTCCCTGGGATTTTTAATGAGCACAGACAGTCAGGAACTTGGTTTTACGTCTCATCCGAAGGACAGTATACTGTCCCTGTCACCATACTGGGGTATTACGAGCCACACTGACCGTAGGGTGAGCGCCCCCCTTCTGGACCCACTAACGCCTCTTCCAGCATTAACCTTAGTTTTTAGCCAGGAGGTCTCCCATCCAAGTACTGGCCAGGCTCACACCGGCTGAGCTTTAGTGCATTACTCGTTGCAAGTTGCAGGGTGATATGGCTGCTGGCCATGTTATAGATGCTCTTGATTTGCTTAAAGGAGTGTTCAGAGCAGATCTCGAAAAAACAAATGTTCAAGAGGACACTCTGGACTGTTAATTGCAGTTTGAACACTACCACAGACATTTTTAGAATGCATCTCTCGTATTCCAGCTCAGATGAAATATTTGCTAATGTAATCATGCTAAGGACGTATACCAGTATGAGTGGAGAAAGGTTTCCTCAAGGCACCACTTGCAGCTGAGCAGCATTAGCGGTTTTCTGCCTTCCCATAATTCATTCTGGCACCCTGAGTCTGTACGTGTGCACAGAATAAGCAGTCAAATTCAGGTTTATTTGTGAGCATAATGGTAAACTCGGTTTAGCTTTAATGTTTTATATTGGTTGTTATGCTGCTTTCTAGTGATGGATTCCCTTGTTTTTTTAACTCAGTGATGCTGTCAGAACCCCTGTGCTCCCACTTCTGTCCACTAGAGATCGAATTGAAGTGTGCATCGTCATGCTGCTGTGTGAGAAACATTGCCACCTGCTTTCTGCACGTACCTGGTGCCGAATGACTTTGAATCCTGGGAGAAATATTCTAGAATACAAGTTTGACCAGACCTGCAGTGCTTATGTGAGCTTTGCCACACTCATCGAGTGCATTGTTTCCCTCAGATCTGGAGCAAGAACTGCAAAGTGAAGAGCATCAATCTGACTGCACTCAAAAAACACGGGAAAGTCTACGAAGATGGTAAGGAGCTAAAGATTTTTTCAGAAGCGCACTTTTTCAAAGTATGGCTTTGCAGTGTAGTAAGAGACAGGCTTATGGCCTTTGTACTGGACCACAGCTCCTCACGGCAACCTCTGACCATCCATGGTCTTCAAACATGTGAAGCAGGCAATGAATTTTAAGGAGGAGGTCTGATGTCACAGCTTACGTTTTGCTTATTTCCCACGGTATCATAAGCACACTGCAAACTGTGCATTGGATGTCAGTTTAGCAGTTCTGTCTGCAGATCTTTCAGAATGCTGTGGGTTTCTCACAAACTTCTCATCTCTTCCAGATCAGTTTGGCTGCCTGGTATGGTCCCACTCGGAGACTCACCTCCTGTATGTGGCAGAGAAGAAGAGACCGAAAACGGAGTCCTTTTTCCAGGTCTCATAAAGGTGTCATTTGAACAATTACAAAGGATGTTATTACAACAATGTACATTGAGAGGCTCTTTCCCTTTTTGGTGTCTCAGCTTTTGCGAGAAAACTCTTTAGTACCCACTTTATGTGGCTTGGCTCGGCTCCAACAGAGTTGTTGGACATGCAGAAGGAGCATTATGGATCCATGAGTCTTTCACCCATCTCTCTTTTTCCACTTTCACCCCTTTTCTCTTTTCGAGCTGCTGAAAAAGGTGGTTGGTAGTTTGCTGTGTAGTTAAGGTAAATTCTGTCATTCCGTGAGACCTTTTAATCTGTGCTGCTCCCAACAGACTGAGTCCCCGGAGACCAGCACTCTGGGTGTTGAAGAAGAGGCTTTGAAGGCAGAGAACAAGGAGGAAACCGTGAAAGTAGGTGCAGTGCCTTTATAGTTTTTTCTTAGTAGGTTCATTCTCTGTATAGGAACACAGGGAAGGTTGCAGACGAGAGCAGTCCATGCAGCCCATCCACCCCAGTTGGTAGTTAGTAGTTAGGTGATCAAGGATCTCTTCCAGTGTTTTCTTAAAGGAAGTCGCAGTTTTATTTTAGCCACATGAATGGACAGTTTCTTCCACGCTCCCACAGCCCTTTGGGTAAAATGTTTCCTGTTCTCGGTTTTAAATGCGCTTCCACACAGTTTACACTTGTGTGCTCTTTTTTTATTTGATTACTTGTATCGCGTCCCTTGTTGTCTTCTGTTCAGCCTGTCAGTGTACAACCGAACTTGACGAATAGAGAAATTCCTCAATCACATTTTGGTTAAAATTGCTCTTATTTTATTTTCATGCATTTCGGAAAACGTATTTGAACTGAATTTGAAGATTAGGCCAAATGGTTGTGATACTGCTAGCAGCTTTAGGTTAACAAGAACTATTTGAAGCCCTTGCCCCTCAGGAGGATATTTCAGTTTCACAGCTGACGAGGCCTCGGTTTTCCCTGCTTCCATCTGTAGCTCTTCCCCGCCCCCCTGTTTTTTAGGGTGACCAGTTCGTGTTTTATGAAGACTGGGGTGAAACCCTGGTGAGCAAAAGCACCCCGGTGCTCTGTGTCCTTGACATCGAGAGCAGCAACATCTCTGTCCTAGAAGGAATCCCCGACAACATCTCTCCAGGCCAGGTCTGACTTGGGGTTCTTTATTTTTAAAACAAAGCAGTAGAGTGAACCTCTTTCGTGTG